ACAAAGATAGAGGGGAAAAAAAACAAACCTCAGTCTCTAATTTTGATTCGGGATTAGAGCCGAGCAAGGAAAAGGGGCCTTAGAAGCTGAGATCTCGGTTTCGTAAACCATAGGGGTGGATTCTGCTCCCCAGGGGCAGGCCTTTCCCGTCCCCCCCCCCCATGGGGCTGGGGGCAGCTGTGAGTGGAATCACAAAGAAGTGTTTGGAGTCTCTCTGAACTCTGGGTCCCTCCTCTCCCAGGTGTCCAGCACCCACCCTGGTGACCGACTGACCTAATTCATTCTCACAAGCTGTAGCACACCAACCAGTCAATGGGACAAAAACCCCAGGGCCAAGAAGCTCAAGAAAAGCCTAGAAAAGACTGGAAGTTTGGAAATTTGTGAAGGGAGGTGGTTGGATATTCCTGGTACTCTGTCAGAAGGGATACTGACTGCCCCAGGGTTCCAGGCTAAAGAGAAAATGCAGACAGCCCAGGAGTATGAAACAGTAACGTTAGCTGTACTAAATAAAGCCTGCGATGACGCTACATACCTGTGACTTCCCTGCTGGGGTATCGCTCACCCTGCAAATATACACTTATACCTGGAAATATACTCACCCTGTTGATTTTGACTCCCAATGTACTTTTGTGTTTTATGTGGAAATACTCCCTTTAGCATCTTATCCGCAATGCTCTTATTTGAAAGCAATAGAGATGAATTCTATGGGCTTGTCATTTGTGTGTTGTCTCTCACATCCATTCCCTTCCCTCTCCGCACTCTGCTCTGTTTGGCAGGGAATGACAAGGCTCCCTTGCAGCTGGCCTCTGGGCAGCTTCTGCCAGTGGCGCCTGGAGGCAGAAAGGAGGGGAGAAGTCAGGGTACTTTTTCTTGTCTTGCTTTGCCTCAGGCCATGTCTCTGAGATGGCTGTGTCTCCTTAGCTCCACCTCCCATCCGACAGGCTGTGATTCAGGCTCACACTGGTTAGCCCAGTCTCTGGGATTTGAAAACACATCTCCCTCCATGACCCCAGTCCTAGAATTGGCAAAACTTCCTGCAACTGTTGATCTTTGTGTTGCCTCACCATTCGTTGTTTGGCTTTTTAGCTTTTCTGTCACCTTGTATCCAGTTCCTGGTATTAAAGTCCCTCTATTGAAAGGCCTAGAGTGGTTTCTGTTTCCCTATCTGAAATTTGGTACCTTCTGATTGATCCGAGTAGGAATGTAATTGATTAGAAGGATGTGGGTCATTTGCAGAACTGCCAGGAAAGAGAGAAGCTGTGCAGGAGGATCCAGAGCTGAATTCAATCCACAGAACCACTGTGAGGGGACCTCAATAGCTCCCGCCAGACACTGGAACTACGGGCCACACTCCCAACACCACTGGCACAGGACACCAGCCCCACCCTCTGCTGCCCTTAGAAACTAGCTCCCAAGTAAAGTCCCGATGGCTTCATCTCAGCCTATGTCACTTGTCCTACTCTAGCTACAGGAGACTGGAAATTAAGTATCTGACCTTTGTAGCTGAATCGAGGTCTGCTTTTTAGTAAGACTTTTAGGGTCAAGAATTCTCTAAATACAAGAAAAGAGGTAAGATGTAGGACAGCCAAAAAATAGAAAGAAAGAAAGAAAGAAAGAAAAAAGAAAATCATTTATCCCTTTATCACAGGAATAAGGCCAGGATTTGAGGGTTGGGTGGCAGTGCTAGGGTCAGCATGTAAAGAGGAGAATCTTTCTAGGATGATTGGATTGATGGTGGTAGAAAGACTAGAACGCTGTGTGGTAACCTTGGTCTATGGTCATAATCATGGGCCCTTCAAATTAACATTGGACAATCAGAATCGATAACTATGTGTCACCTAAGACCACACAGCTCATACCCAGGAATAAATGTGTACCCAGCTAGGAGCAGATTTAGGTACTAATCAGAGATTAATCCCTACTTTTGGAACTAAATTTTACCCTGATTCCCCAGCCTGAGTTCTTTTCTGGTTCCCGGGCACTAGTTCCCCACCTTATATCTCTGAGCCATCACAGGGTCCCTGGATCAGCCTGTTGTAGGTGGTCCACAGACCACACTTTAAGAAACACCAACCCAGCAGGTTTCCAGGTCCTGTCCATTCCTGATGTGATTCTGTTATTCATTCTGTCAGCACTTCCCAGGTTTCAAGTGGGCTTGGGATTTTAGTAAGGATTAAGTCATGGCTTCTTATGATCCAGTTGGAGCTGTCCCCCTCAGACCTCCCTCTACCCCAGACCCACTGGATCGGGATCTCAGGGTGGGAGTTGAGCTGACACATGCAATTCCCCCCAAAGTTCCACATATGTTTCATACACAAACCCCAGGTTCACTGCTTCAATACCACCCATGACTCCAGCCCTTTTCTCCCCATTCCTAGCCTCACCCATACTCTTAACTTCCCTGCAGACTCACTTGAGAATGCGGCACCTGTTAGTGATAGATGCTGCTTCTAGCTCCCTGACAAAGCCATCTCTTCATTCTCTAAGATTTTATCCATATCCACTTGGCAGGAGAGTAGATTTCATTACGATCATTACCCATATAGACTAGCAGCCAAGATTTAATATCTGTTGGTAAATAATTGCTTTCCTAACTAATAGCTCTTGATGGTCATCTAGAGGGAAGCAAGGCCTTATTATCCATCTGGTCCCCACTGCTGGCACTCAGACATACAAAAGCTGGGACCTGGAAGCCCGCACACCTTTAGGACTCCTGTTAGAGCATCTGTAGCCAGGGTGGGGAAATGGAAGCCTGATTCCTCCATCCTCACAGTCCAATCCATGCTTCACCTCCTCTGTGGAGCCTCTCCTGACTCCAGCACCCTGCGCTGCTTTCCTTTCACAGATTTTCCGCTACATGTCACATAACACAGCTTAGCACTGGACTGTGTCCTCCTCTGGAATGCTGTCCATCTGTTTTGTTTGCATATTGCTTGTTTATCTGGGAAGATCACAGGCTCTCTGAGATCAGGACCCAGGTTTGAGATTTCCTTTGATGGATCAGGGAGGCAGAAAGAGGGACAGAACTAGGATCAGCTCATGAACCTCATACTGGAGTGAGACAGGGGCTGAGGATCCTGACTGCAAAGGCAGCGTCTGGAGATGTCTTCCCTCCAAGGTGAAGCTGAGATGCAGTTTTCAAGGCTGTCACTGCAGACATGAGTCAGGTCAAAGTTGTTGAAGGGAGGTGCATTAGTGGGAGGCAGGGAGAGGGCAAAAGACAGAGCACAAGTCAAAGAACCCAGCTATCAGTTGGTATTTAGGACCCATGCAAAAGGAAGCAGTTACCAGCCAAAGAATGCCTTTTGCCAGTTGGGCCCCAATCAGGGGGGCAGGGCATGATCCGCCAGGCCTGTGCATCCAGCGAGAGGAGGCTGAGGTCTTCCAGGTCACAAGGATGGAATTCAAGTCAGGTAGCCAGCTGTAGATAGGTTGGACTTGTGGGCAGAAAAGCTATCGAAATTACAAAATGGGGTCATTCAGACGGAAGAAAGACCTGTCTTCAGGGGCTGAGCTTGCCCAGAAGACCCTAGCAGCCCCTCTGCCCTCTTACTCCATGCCAGCTCCAGGACTTCTCCAGGCTCAAGAGTTGGCTCCCTCTCTCTCCTCACCTGAGCTCTGTGGCCAGCCCTTCTCTTTGTAGACCCTAACCCTGTGAATTAACTCTTGATTTGCAAGGTTTCATCATCTAAGGCTCCAACGGTGTTCTGCTTTGACTCAAGTCTGCAGTGGCACAAGCTATGGAAGTCAAGTCCTGGTTGGCACTTTTTAACCCCACATTAACTGGAATTGGGTTAAGTATGTCTTGATGCTCATCTATTCCATATGGTCAAATAAACTCAGCCCACTGAATGCACACTGGGAGGGTATGAAAAATTCCCTGCTGGTAATGGCAGGCCAGCTTCAGAATCCACCTAAACTTCCCAGCGGTCCTCTTTGTCATTCCCTACTTTATCCTTCTCTTAAGATCAAGGAGACCTGGGTACAAATCTACCACTCACTAGCCTGGAACCTTGGGTAAGTTAATTAACCTCTCCAAAAGATGGAGATAATAAATTCTGTGGACAAGAGACCTCTGCCCCCGGTCACTGGCTGCCGCTGGCCAGCCTGTTTCTCCTCTACCTGACACATGAAATGGTAGGATCTGAGAACTGGTGCCCAGGGAACACTTATTGACTTGACCTCTTGTCCTATGACCAAGGACATCAAGCCATAAGCAAGCACCCACTTACAGCAAGTGGGAGGCCCGCAAGCACAGCTCTCCTGGGTACCAGGGATGTCAGAGTTCAGTATTTGTTGGAAGAGCTGATAGGATGTGGACTGCTAGACCATTTGCAAAGCCAGGCACAAACTCTCTTGAAAGATGGATCACCATATAAATATGTAACTTCATCGCAGCACTAAGGTATGAGTCATGCTCCAAAGATGGATGAAAGAATGGGGGAAGGAGCATCAAGGAGGCAGAATGATGTAGGAGCAAGGATCTTTCTGCTCAGGCCACTGCCCCACGCTCTATTTCAAGGGCTTAGTATGTTTTTAATCACTTTACTATTAATTATACAAACCAATAGCAGGTGCCTGCTGGAAGAAGAAAATAATGATTCGAGCATGAGAGTCATTTTCCTATTGATTTTCTTTCTCTTCATTTCCTCTTGACCTCAGCAGAGGAGGCACAAGCCTCACTATTCAAAGAAACTATAATTCAGTCCTCACTCATGGACTTTAAAAAAGCACTTAATATTTTTCTTCTTATGTCCCAGGGAACTACATTTCAGGTGTTTAATCAACTTTACAGCCCCCAAATATTTAGGATTTATGGAAAGCATTTAAACTCAGTGGAAAAAAATAAAAACAGAGTGTCCTAAATTTAGGGTAAATTTCCATTCTCGTTATGGGTGTTAATTTATGACTGGGCAATGATTTCAAGGCTTTTCTCAGATCCTCTGAGGCTTGTATTTTCTTATTATTCAACCTGGTTTTATTCTCAGTGTCAAATGAATCACACATTCAATCATACAGAGCATAATGCCTACGGCCCCATACACAGGACCAGAGTCATAGTCTATGGAATTATGATCCCCCACCCCAGGAAGAGACCAAGGTAGTCCTTGTGCTAGCTCAGTCCCCCTGGTGATGAAAATGCCTAATCCTTCAAAAGACTGATTCTTGTGGGAGATAATGCTCCTGGGGGCTAGCCCTCCAAGCCAGAGTGTCCCAGCTGCTCTATGTAAGGCTCTTGGCTCCCGCGATACCACGAGCAGCTATTCCAAAGCAGTAAAGAGGTTTCCGGAAGCGTTGATCTAATGCTTACGAATGTGGCCTTCATTCCTCGGTATGTGTGGTAGTGGATCCTTCACTCACGCTTCAAAGGGGGAAGGAGGAGCTGGGGTTTGGAGTCTGCGCTTCAGTAATCATGTTTCCCCACCCCTAGTGAGAAACCAGAAAAGGGGTTAGAACTAATCAGGGAGGTGGGAACTCAAGGCGGATGGTGGGTGGCAGAGAAAATCCTAGCCTGGCCATCACTGCTCCTGCCCGAGGCAGGCACTTTGGGAAACACCTCTGCCACTAACGTCTTGAGGCACAGCGGTCCCCATCACCTGCCTTGGCTTTGAACCTTCACCTCTGGCTTCCCTGGATACTGTCCCTTGGTCTTCCACCTGCACTCCCCGTTTCTGACTTGCCCTTTCAAACTGATGACTTGTTTCAGTAGCTGGCCTAGATTTGGGGTTCAACTGCTCCCCAAGCTGACCCCTTCAGTCCCATATTCCCCACCTGTAGGCAGATAATACCATCATCTTCACAATCTATACAAAGCCTTCAGAACTCCCAGGTCTCCATTTGCCTCAAAGGGAGATTAGACAGCCTGTGTGATGGACATTTCCCAAGGGAGAGCGATGTGTCACCCAGACTGTCCCGGGGTTCCTGTCTTCTGTCTGCACTCCAGGGCATACCCTTGGGCTGCTTTCCTCCACCCTCCCCATCTGAATTGTGCTTAACAAGTCCCACAGGCCCTGCCAGGTCTGTGAGAGGCAGATTTCTGCTCAGACACAGACAGAAGAAAGCTTTCAAAAGTGTATTTAAGGGAGAGTGCCTTAGCCCAAAGAATAAGAGATGGAATTAACAGAACTTCAACTAGCTGGAAGAAGGGATTATGTGAGGGAAAATCACTCAGTGGTATTGCCCCAATCATATCATATAGGATGAAAAGATGCTATAAGGAAGAAGTTAACATTCATTTGGTACCTACTCTGTGTCATACCCTGTGATGGACTTTCTCCTCACACATTAGTTTATTTTATTCTATAAACAACTTAGCAAAATATGGTCTTACTTTTACAAAACAGAAACTGAAACTTAAAGAGATCAAGGGGATTAACTCATGCGACTCAGCTAGCAAATTGCAGGGCTAGGCTCCAAATCCAGGTCTATACTTTCCCTAAATTCGGGGATGTTCCACTCTGGCACTTTTCCCACGGCCCACCTTTGCCTCTGAAAGCCATGTGACTTGATGCTGACATTCTTTCCTGAGCAGGAACTGGTGGTGGTGGGCGTGGTGCACTGTTCTTCATCCTTACTTTCTCTTCTGGCCCTAGGACCACCTGATACCCCAGGGAAAGGGAAAGGTTGAGCTGGCCACACTGGTTCTTGCCCCAGGCCCATGAAGGGGCAGGCTGAGTACACAGTACCCAGCCCCTCAGCACCTGGAACAAGGCGCTTTCCAATCTCAGAGACTCCGGAGCCTCTCTGGAGCCCCGTCTTGCTCTTGACTCTGCAGAGCTGAGCCTCGGAGGTGAGGTTGCAGAAGGGAGGCATCTGAATTTGGGCCCCAGTGGAAGTCCCCACTAGATTACAGCTGCTCCGGCTTAGCCCACCTGGAAATTGGAGCCAGTTCGTTCCCATCCTCCTTAGGGAAGAACCTTACAGAGGTCAGGGAGAGCAGAGAGTCCTCTTAGCTGGTAATAGTTTGGCTTCTTATGATGAGCATGATCCATTCAGGTGCAAGGAAACTAAATTCAAGGCCAAACTGCTGCTGAAATGCTTGAGTCCTTGAGAAGCAGGAAAAAAGCCACAGGATACTTTTAAGAAACCGGTATCAGTCAAACAGCCTCATATAAACCCTGGAAGCCCCAGTAAAGCCAGATGACTCCCTTCCCAACCTTAGTAGTCATTCATTCACCTATTTAAGATTCATACTGCCATTGGTGGCTCAGCCTCTCCCATCCTGATCATCATCCATCCAACCAACTGGCTTCAAGAACCGCTCGTGGAAGAGCTGCCAGCAGTTACTCACAGCAGTGCCAGAAGATAACCTCTCCTTTCCCTCTCTCCATCACTTAGCTTCTCTGGGAAGAAAGGGTTAACGCAGGAGCTCAGGAGACACACAGGACTCTTGGCTCACATGGTGGCTAGGCGTAAAAACCTACCTTCCTCAAATTCAGTCCAATCTCTGTCCTTCTCTGGTTGAGCTGAGGGGCAGGTGTGAGTCAAAGAGCTAAAGGGTAAAGTATGGAGCTGTTACAAATGACTAGGGGAAGGGGTGGGGGTATAGCTCAGCGCTAGAGTGCGTGCTTGGCATGCACGAGGTCCTGGCATCAGTCCCCAGCGCCTCCATTAAGGGGGAAAAAACTAATAGGGGAGAAAAAGCAAAGTGCAGTGGTCACTCCAAAGATATGCTCAAGTCCTGACCCCCTCAGTACCTGTGAATGTGGCCTTCTTTGGAGACAGGGTCTTTGCAGATACACTAGATTAGGGTAGGTCCTAATCCTTAGAAGGAAAGGAAGGTTTGGAGACACACAGACAAGGACAGAGGGAAGACAGCGGTAGAACTTGGAATAATGCAGCTACAAAACCAAGGAATGCCGAGGCATGCAGGCAACCACCAGAAGCTAGGAAGAGGCAAGGAAGGACTCTTTCTGAGACTTCAGAAAAAGCAGGGCTGCTGCTCACTTTGATTTCAGACTTCTAGCCTCCAGGACTAGGAGAACATGCATTCCTGTTGTTTTAAGCCATCCAGTCTGTATTAATTTTTTACGGCAGCGAAAGGAAACTAATACATACACACCATACGGGGAAAATGGCAAAATGATATTGAAAAAGCAAATCACGAAAGAAGAAATGCAAATACAATTTAAAAATGTAAACAATGTTCAACCCCGATGGTAATAAAAGAAATGTGACTTAAAACAATGATCTGCCCTTTTTCCTTTCCAGATGGCAGGGATGAAAAAGCATCACAGTGCCTGGAGTCGGCGAGAGGGGGGAGATGACATCTATACACGGCTATTGGGAGTAAGCAGGAACAAATCTTCCTGAAAGCAATGTGGTAATATACATCAGAGGCTGTAAAATCATCATATTCGAGGGAATAATTAGGTAGGTGTGCAAAGATCTATGCATAACACTATTTTCATTAAAGCATTGTTTATAATAGCGACATAAAACAGGAAAGAAATGTAAGCTTAAGACAATAGGGAATTGTTAAATAATTTATGCTATGTTCACATAATAAAATTATTATGAAGCCATTAAAAATGCTGGCGTTGACATATATATATAGGCATATATATATATATATATATATTTATTTTTTTTTTTACCAGTCATCTTGTATTGGGTGTTAATTCTCAATTAGGATAGGAAAGGATTCAGGGGTGCCAAAGAAGGTCATGGTCAGGGATGCACAAGGCACCCTCCACACTGAACCCTCCTCAGTGGTACTTGTGTGGCCACTCATGTTTGAGCTCCTTGGGAGAAAGGTAGTAGCTGGAAAGCATATAAGCTTGCAGGACCAGAAAAACCCCAGCGACACTCCCCTTCTTTACATGGACATACCTGTTGTAACACCAGCAGTCACGTCTTTGAGACGTTCCAACAGTGTCTCTCGGGTGAAGTCCCGCATCAGCATCCTGCGTGGCAGCTCCCCTGTCTGGACATCTGTGAGTTCTTCTCCTTCACGGGAACGGCTGCCACCGTCTTGGAGTCCTGGGGTCTGCTGTCGACCTCAATCTATATTTATCAACAAGGAGAGATGTTTGGTTATATTGCCAAGTTAGAAAAGCACAAAATAGTCCAATATAGTTGTGTGTGTGTGTGTGTGTGTTGAAAGAGAAAGAATCCTAGGATATACACACTATGTTAACCAGTTGCTAACCTTATGAATCTTTTGCTTTTTTCTTTAATTTTCTATTTTTTCTAAAAATGAAAGTAAAGATATGTTTCAAAGGAATGAAATGGATTTGAGCACTTCTGCGTGTCCCTGGAGGGGCGGGCCTGGGGCACAGCCTACCCACAGCCCATCGTCCAGCGCCGGACCCAGGGTGCCGAGTGGGCCAAGGCCCTCCCCGCCTTGCTTCTTCACTCTGCTTTAAAGCCTTGCACATACCCTCCCCGACCTTCCTGTTTGATCTCTAAATCAATCAGATCTTCCTTCAGCTCCCACTTTTGGAATTTCTTTGCTCCTCTTCCCTACATCACCCTAACTTTTAACTTAGGCGGTAGAATCAGTGCTCTCACCCCCTTTCACACTGCAGCCCGGCTGCCTGTAGGAAGGTCTGTTTTCCCCGCTACAGTGAGAGCCCCCCGAAGGAAGGACAACTGGTCCACTTCCATCGCCAGTGCCCAGGGCTGTGCCTGACCCACGTAGGTTTGTTGAATGGGGTCTTACAGTGTCTAGAACTCAGCAGAATTTAGCAATCAATAGCAATCAACTTTCTTATTTTATAGGTAATGAAATAAAAAGGCCCAGGAAACCAAAATGACTTGTCAGTGGCAGTCAGACAAGAAGCCAGACCTCCTGACTCCTAGACAGTGTCCTTCCCTCTACGTCACACTGAGTTTCTGAAGAAGTCCCAGTGCTGAGCCACAGGACCCCCACCCCTCAACCCCTGCCGACGTTCAGGAAGGCCCTGAGCAGTTCCCACAGAACATCTGAGAAATCTGGTCCCTTCACTGGCGCCCTCCTTGCGTCTCCTTTCCCCCGGTCGATCCTTCAGACCCTTTCCACGGAGCAGGCTGCTTTGTCAGCGGCCTTTCCCTGAGTCCTGGCCCTGCCCTTTCCAGTCCTGCTTCCCCTGGCAGCCCCCTCAGCCCTGGCCTACCTCGTTCAGTCCGTCTCCAACGTCCTCCTGCCTTCGGACCCCACTTCCCAGCACCCCTCCTCTTTCTCCTCAGTCTCCATCCCAGTCAGCTCCCAGGCCCAGCCTTCCACATCCAGGGGGCCCAGCGAAATCGGATTGTGGCCCCGTTGTCCCTTCAGGCCCCTGTTCCACCGTCTAAAGTCGTGTTCACACCTCAGTGCCTCCCACTAGGTCTGGGGAGCGCTCAGCTTTCCCCGCAGGAGTCAGCTCCTACAGCGGCGTCTGCTGCAGATGCGGGTGCTCCTGCCCCTCCCCAGGGGCCGCTCTCACCTCCCCGCGGAGAGCCCCTCTGGCCCCTGCCCCTCCCTCAGAGGGCAAGGCAGACCACAGCCAGCGCGGACTCTCTCCCCCAAAGGGAAGGCCTCTTTCGTTGCCTCAAGAGGCCCCAAAGGAGGCCCTTCCATCTGCTGGGACATTAGACCCTCACGTCTCAGAAAGCTCACCAGGGCTCGTGGTGGGCAGTAACGCCTCTGTCACCACTTCCTCTGCTTCCTTTAACGCCTGGCGCTGCCAGGGGGGGAGGAAGGCGGTCAGAACAGACTTAGGAGCGGGACCAAAGGCAAACGGCATGTGGACAAACAAGGACATTGGTTTTGCCACCTGAGCTCCACAAAACCAAGTTCCCCAGAGACCCTGTGAGGCGGGGCGAGAAGGCTGGGCTGACAGCGCTGAGGGCCCTCTCCCCGCATCGCCCAGAGCAGCTCCACACTTAGTCCTTTTATGGATTTGAAATACCTTCAGATTGTATTTCAAAAACAGACATCGTTGTTAAAATCAAGGTTTAAAAAAAAAAAAAAACACTGAACTGGGACACTAGAGGAAGACAGGGTCAACAGTTCAGTTTTCATGACTGGAACATGTAGTCACTCATTCATTCAACAAGTGCTCTGAATCACGGCTATGTGCCAGGCCGCAAGCCAGGGTCAGGCTGACCTGACTTACTGCAGGACAGAGCTGTCTGACACTCAAGTTAAGGCTGGTCCTGAAAGCTGGGAGCCTGCCTTCTCTGTGAGCCATTTATCAAGCAAGCCATCTCAGATGCAGGGCTGAAAACAACAGCAATCGTCTTTCTGAGGCCAGCCCCTCATTCAGAACAATTCAGTTCTAGTCATTAAGCAAAGGTGCGATCTGGGCGGGGCAAGGGGAGGACAGTTCACTTCTGCTCCAGGCAGAGAATAATTTCAAGGCTCACTCTCACATGTCAGGTGGTTGATGCTGGCAGTCAGCTGGGACCTCAGCTGGAGCTGTCAGCAGAAACACCTCAGCATGGCTGCCCATGCACCTGCTGGCTTCCTCGCAGTGTGGTGTCTGGGTTCCAAGAATGAGCGACCCAAGAGAAAGAGTGTGGAAGTTGCTGGTTTCTTAATGCTGGAGTGTGGAAGCTAGCATACTGCTACTTACCCTATATTCTATTGGTGAAAAAGTCACAGAGCCTAGATTCAAGGAGGAAGCACAAAGACCCCATCCATTGATGAGAGGAGCATCAGAGACTTTGGGATCATGTTTCGAAACTGTCAAGGTCTTCAAGTTGGGAAGAAATGGTCCTAGCTGTGGGAAGAGTGGTGAGAGCTGTAAACCCAGCAAAGTCCTCCCCTTCCTTCTATAAAATATAATGTTTAAAAACGTGGGTTATGGTACTATTCACCCCTGGACACTTGCACTGACCTTGGAGCAGGATGGAAAATGCTTATATCCTCTGCTATGGGAGCTCTTCACAGACTAAATGATGGCTACCTTACCCAGTTCTCAATACCAAGAATTACCAAGGATCCAGACTAAGCATTCTCAATTTCTTCACCTATTCCTCCACCGAGTTGACTTCTAGGCACACACCCACCAAGCTGGTCAGCATCCACGGGAAGTGTCTGCTTGTCAATGTTCCTAAGAAAATGCTACGCTTCACTCAAAACCCATGTCACTGAGTACCAAACACCACAGAACATCTCTCCATCACATGACACAGTCTGGCATCTCCAGCAATCTCTTGGCTCTGGTAACATATCTTGAGTTTGCAAAAGTCTAAAGTCTTCTCTCCTGTGTTGCTGTTAAACTCCAGCCCCTCATTCAAAACAATTCAGTTCACAGTTATTAAAAGGATAAATTTGTGCTTTGGCAGCAGATACTTGGGACTGAAGAAGAGGACTTCCCAGTACCCGCAGGAGGGAAAAGTCATAATGCACTTTACAGTTTTCCTATTTCGTGTGAGGGCTAACGGTCCCTGTTGCCAGAGGTCTGGAGGTAGCACAGGCAGGGAATGAGCTCCTACTTGCCCAGTGATTTTCACCAAGTTTAAAATCCACAATGGAACTCAAAATAATCTTGAGAGATGCCAGTACCTGTTTTCGCTTCTCCACCCAAACCAGCCGTCCTACTCCTTCCCAAGTAAGAGAGGTGACATCCAAGAGATTTGGCTCCTAAACTGACAGGTGGTGGCACGGGCTGAGATTTATTTAGAAACACCTAATTAAGCTCCAGAGTAAACTCGTCACCAAGGTGTTTAATTGGCAGCATGTGAGGATTAGGAGCTAATTAAGTTGTTCCCTCGTACTTTAATTAACATTTGTCATCAGGCCACTGCCTGGCTGGCGCAAATTTAAGGAAGACGGAAGGGCCCACTGGCCAGCGCTTAGACCGTGTTCCTAGCTGTCCCCGGCACCCAGGCAGAGCTGAGCCGAGGGGCAGTATGAGGGGCTGCGCGGCTCATTCCACAACCCAAGTCCCAGAAGCTACTCTGAAATCACTTAATGAATGATTGCTGGGGCTCTGCTCGGTGCCAGCCAGGCAGGCAGGGAGGGCAGTGGAATCTGGCGAAGCCTACATTCGGATGCCACCTCTGCCTCTATCTGGTTGTATAAACATGCACCACCTGGCCTTTCTGAATTTCAATTTTCTTATCTGCAGAATGAAGACAAGAAACACCTACCTCATACAGTTATTGTTTCAAGTAAAAATCAGATATCATCAGTCCTGGGTTCAAAACCTTCAGTGACTTCTCATCCCAGGAGGAAAGTTTAAGCTCTCAGGGACTTTCCACGACTGGTCTCCTTCCTCTGTTCCCTTAACCCCCGAATTTCTCCACCTTCTCCTACTTTCTTTTCCCTCTCCTCCCTCCAGCCTCACTGCTATTTTTAATGTTTTCTTGGGGGGGGCAGTAATTAGGTTTATTTATTTAAATGGAGATACCGGGGTTTGAACCTGGGACCTCGTGCGTGCTTAGCACACACTCTACCACGGCGCTATACCCTTCCCCTTACTGCTATTTCTTGAACACCAAGTCCTCTCTTGCCACAGGACCTTTGCACTTGCTGCCCACTTGCCAAAAAGTTGACCCTTGAACAAGAAAGGAGTTAAGGGCACCAAACATCATGCCATCAAAAGTCCGAGTATAACTTACAGCCAGTGCTTTGTCTGTAGGGTTCCTCCCTATCTCTTGATTCTTCCTCTGTATCTGTGGCTCCTCTGTATCCACAGTTCAGCATGTGTGGACTCAGCCATCCTCGGATCCTGTAGTACTGTAAGACATACTACTGAAAAGTTCTGCATGTAAGTGGACCCGTGCAGTTCAAACCCCTGGTATTTGAGGGTCAACTATATTATCCCTCTTGCCAAACAGCCACAGGATTCACACTCTCAGTCTTGCTCAAAACACCTTTTTCAGAGAGCCTTCCTCTGTCCTCCCTATTTAAAATGTACACACTCTCCCCTACCTGAACTAAAGAACCAGCACATACCCTCTCCCATGTCTGCTTTATTTTTCCTGTTGTCATTTAATCCCATCTAACATACAATACATTTCAGCACAATGTGCTCATTTACTGTTTTAGAATGCCTGCCCAGTCCAACATAGAAACACAACAAGAGAAAACATGTGTCATCTGTTTTGCCTCCCAGCTGCATTTCCAGTGCCTAGAACAGTGCCAGGCCCATGGAAGGCACTTGATAAATGTTTGTTGAATAAATGAATGAGTGTTAAATGAGATGCAGCATACAAAGGACATAGCACAGTGCAAGGTGCATGTTGGTGCTTCTCTTGGCACGGCAATCAGAACTGGTCTCTCTGCCTTTAAAGACCTCAAATCCATGAGGGAAACACTCCATCACACACCCCTGCTGTACAATAATCTTCCATCCTCACCCCAACAGCAGGAGCAGAGGGACGACCGACTATATATGGACCCCCTGTGGCAAGAGTGATTTGTTGCAATCAGCAATGCACAGGATTTATCCAGCTCTGGCTTTGGGACTAGCATTCTGCCATGTGCCATGGAATTCAGACAAGACTAGCCCACCCTGCCTGCCTGTTAGAGACGTATAGTCGAGGGCTTAGCAAACGCTCCTACAAAGGGACAGATTCTAAATATTTTTGGCTTTGTGGGTCCTACAGTCTCTTGCAATGACTCAGTTTTGCCACTGTAGCCCAAAAGCAGCCAGAGAGGCTATGCAAATGAATGGGTGTGGCTGTCTTCTGATAAAACTCTTTTCATGGACACTCATCTTTGAATCTCCTACAATTTTCATGCATCACAAAATATTAGCCTTCTTTTGACTCTTTCTCAATCATTTAGAAATGTGAAAACTGTTCTTAGTTCTCACTCCAACAAAACAGAAGACCAGATTTGGCTTGTGGGTTGTAGTTTGCCAACCTCTGGCTTAGACAGGGAAAAAAGAAAATGCTGTTGCTTGTAACTAAATTTTAAAATATGATGCTACAGACTGAATCTCATAAATGTTCGTGGAAGATGGGGGTAGCTGGATAAGGACCAGAGCTGTCAGCAAGGGCTTTGGCGAAGGGGTGAGACTTAAGCCAAGTGCTGAGATATGGTTAGGACAGGTAAGCCAAGTGAAGGGCTCAGAAGCTTCCCTGCCATGGAAACTAACAGTAATAATAGTGTAATAATAGTAACAGTAACAACAGCCCATTGAGCGTATAGGACGTAACAGGTCCAACTCTGAGCATTTTATAAGCATTATTAATTTAATCCTCACAGAAAATAAATTTACCCCCTTTTCAAATGAGGAGACCAAGGCTCAGAGGGTTAATAATTCGTCCAGTACACACAGTCAGCAACAGTCAGACTCTCAGCCTAGGTTGTCTGCCTCCAAAGCCCACCCTCCCTCCCACTGGATTCCACACTTTGATCTGGATTCCCTCCCATTTTCTATGATCAGACGCTGCCATGTCCCTGGTGTGCCTGTATTCATGTAAATAACCATTTCCTAAATACACTCAATGAAAAATCAATTACATAGCAAAGTGGCTGAGGTTTGGATAAACAATCTAATTGTTCCCTCTGGGGCTGCTGGCTGAGCAAAGCCTGCTGAGAGAAAGAAGAGAGTTAACATTTATTAAGCACTCTGCCTCGGGCACTAAATATGTGTTCCCTTCCTCCTTGACCAAAATGGGTCTGAGCCCCAGTGGCCAAGCCCCCACAGCATCCCGGGAAGTCTCTGGTGTCTACCATTCATGATGTGGCTGAGTGAGAACCCCACGATCAAAGTAGAACTCAAAGGCAGACGTGGGAACTTGACCCCCAGGGGTGCGTTCCAGATGCCCTAGTCAAAGACAAACACCTAGCCGCCTGCTATATGACAAGTGTCACGCTATGCTTATATCCCTCTAGGAAGGCCACCAGGCTGACCCTCCTGGGTTCTGTTCTCTTACACCTCAAATTTCCC